GCGACCTGCCAGCGCGCGTAAGAATTTACACGTCGCTATGCACGCACGTGTTACGAAAATTTTAATAGATCCATCGTCAAAGAGGGCTTACGGTGTAGAGTTCTTTAGAGATGGAAGCACGTTGCGCGTCAATGCCAGCAAGGAGGTGATAGTTTCCGCAGGATCTATCAACAGCCCTCAATTGCTGATGCTGTCCGGAATAGGTCCTGGAGAACACTTAAAGGAACACGGGATACCAGTTATTCAGAATTTAAGTGTGGGTCATAATCTTCAAGACCATGTAATTGTGACAAACCTTATGTTCTTGATTAATGAAGAAGTATCGTTGGTAGAGAGCAGGTTGTACGATATTCGATATTTGCTGGAATACGCCATATTCGGAGCCGGTCCTTTGACAGAGGCAGGAGGTGTCAAAGGACTAGCTTTTATCAATACCAAATACGCGAATGCCTCCGACGATTTCCCAGACATGCAACTGCATTTTTTGGCATTGGCTGAGAACACCGACGGCGGCGGAGTGTTTAGATATATTTACGGTCTGAATAGAGAATACTACGATGCTGCATTTGGGGACTTTATAAATAAGGACGCATGGACCGCGATTCCCACGCTTATAAGGCCGAAAAGTAGAGGGGTTATCAAGCTTCGAAGCAACAATCCCTTCGATCACCCGTTGATTTATCCCAACTACTTCGAACACCCGGACGATGTGGCGACATTTATAGAAGGAATTAAGTTTGTGTTCGAGATGAGTAAAACTGCATCATTTAGACGTTATGGAAGCAAATTTTTACCGAAATCATTTTCTAACTGCGCGAATATTTCTATGTATACCGATCCATACTGGGAGTGCATGATCAGATCCTATGCCTCGACTCTATATCATCCAGTGGGTACTTGCAAGATGGGGCCTAATTCGGATCCAACGGCTGTAGTAGACCCTCGGCTTCGAGTTTACGGAGTCACCGGACTTCGAGTCATAGACGGCTCGATTATGCCAATCATAGTCAGTGGTAATACCAATGCTCCGATTATCATGATCGCAGAGAAGGGTGCCGATATGATAAAAGAGGAATGGTTGATGAAACGGAATTTGAGAGTGAATAATTTGTTTTGTAGTATTTCGAATGATGAAAATTAATGTACATCAACTGTTATTGTTTATATTACATAATGGAAACTTATAATTATTAACTCAGAGTAAATTTTTATCATATATTATGTATATGAATATATTCATTTCGTCAAATGAATATCGAGTAAGTTAAATTTTAACAAGCGCAAGTTAGTCCGTTAAAATTGTGTTTATCCGAGCTTATCGGAGAACAAACGGTTAAAAATGTAGGAGTTCTACGATTTCACCTATTACATACTTTTGATGTTATGGTTCATTTATTTCATTACTATTGTATTCTAGAACATGAGGAAAGCATAACATCGATGATGAAAAATTGTTGAAAAAGACATTCATCTTGTAATTTATTTCCTTCGTTCTCTAGACACAGGTTAAGATATAAGATAAAAGTAGATACTATAGATAATTGCAGTATGAAAATTATTGAAATTCTTTTCGTCAATAAATGAGACTCGCATAAATTATTAAGCGTATTGATTTTCCTTTAGACTGTGAAATACGATGTAAATTATAAACATGTAACCCATAAACTTTGTTTATTAAAGTATATACATGTATGATATATCTGTGAAAGAAATTTTTAAAGACCTTTTATGATTTTCAAGTCATTCAATTTAATGATAGATATTTCTGACAGCACTTAATTCAGACCATAACCAATTTATGTCCTTTGTGAAACGGAGCTTTGCTCACCCGTGTAATTTTTTTAAATGCGTGTATCTATAATACAATAAACAGCATCCACGAAATAACACGCTTCTTTAGTAAATACTTAATCACGTTGTCGTTGTTTACGAGTAGAGGACACTAATGTCAATATTGAATTTTGTTGAGGTTATTCGATGTGTAAACAGAGAAAACTCGCGGATAAATTGTAAGGCAGAAAATATATTTAAATAGAAGTATAATTATAACTTAGAATACAATTTGAACTGGTCCAGATCCGCACGCTAGCTGTGTTACCCAATAACTGAAAAAACCCGGAAGCCAACGTCGCCTGTCTACTGTTTATGGTCTGTCTTTGTCGCAGTCTTTTGTCTACACGCTGTCGATGGCTCGAGTGCTTGAGAAAACTAAAAAGATCAGATGTAGAGTTTTCTTATAAGTGGTGATCACTTCAACAAATTTCTATGTCGGTATGGTAGTTGCGCTGGGCTACAAAGATTTCTGGGTGATTTGTCTATTCGTATACCTAGTCTGTGTCTGCGGTTCGTCGATAACGAAAACTCAATAGGTTCTTGTATACGCTAATGAAGAACGGCTACAGCATTTGACCACTTGGTGCAGCATTTGTATTGGGGATAACTCAACGTACAAGAAACGAACTAGTGTTGTTCAGAAACTTTTTTACCTGAACCCACAATGAAAATTTGAGCAATACGTTTTGTGCATTCGTGTCAGTAACGTACATGCTGGAGAGATCATCGAGATGGGCAAACATTGCTATGAGTTATAAATGGTTACAATTTTTAAATCATCAAGACGTATTGTTTAAAGTTCTATTACAGCAGCAGATAAACAAGTTGTAAAGAATGACCTTTATTTTCTTCTTCCCGATTCGGCCCAGTTGCAACTTTCAACAAATTTTTAGACGTCATCTAGTAAACCCATTCTTCTAACATTTAAAGAAAAACTCGAATCTTTCGGTCCAATTTTACAAAAGTTATTCTGTGTTACAGAATGTCCGAATATAAATACATATGTGTACGTATTAATATCGGTTACTGTATTCTATTTTTATTTTGTCTACGAGAAATATCCATTGCATAAATTTATATAACCCCATACAGCGGCACAGGAATCACAGAACGACGCGAGTCGACAGCGACTCACGCTGTTGTTTTGCCTCGGGACATCGTCTTAGCCTTGATGCATGAAACATAACAGTAAATAAGTTTCGGGCGAAAACAATGTCGCCGCTATATGCTAGTAGAATCAACACGAATTTCAATTTTTCGACTCTCCCTCCATCAGTATAAATAAACGAAGACACCAGCATCGGGAGTATTTTCTGAGTATCTCACGAGCGTCTATCAAGTTAAACGACAAGTCTTTACAAGTATTGATTCCGCGATTATATTCTGCGATTTATACTTCGTACCAACGACTCGCGTTTACGGCTGTGTACTAATTTATCGATTTAAATATATTCGACGGTTGCAACAACAAGTGATCTCGTCATTAATTCTCACGCACCTATATCCTCTTCACATAACTTCTACACGCACAAAATAATTTTGTCATACTCATGTCGATTTGAACATTGATCATATTATCGATACCTGACATACTCACAGTTTAATTTTCTGACACTAGTTGGCATATCGAAATTCTCCGCCAATATAAAAATTATAAAGCGAGAAGATCTCCACATAAGGGTGCCAATATGTTCAAGGTAATCTCAAAAACTACTCAGCCGGTTTTTATTAATTTTCGCATCGTTGGAAAGATCGACATATCCAAATAGAAGTAGGCTATGTTTTATTGCGTTTGTTCCTCAGTGTAAATATCTTCGTTTGAAATCGCACCTCTCGTTCAGTGGTGAGATTTGTATTATTCGTGCTGCTTTATTTTTAATTGCTGTAGTAGTATTTGAATTGCGCGCCTTCTGCACGCGTATCCATTCAAAACAAACGAGGATATCACTCTGATGGATTTTTTTTGGCAATAAACCACTTGGCAACCTTTTCGCACTTGTGACGTTGAAGGTCACAGAAATGAAGCGTCTGATCTTTGGAAAATGTTTTCCTTATTTTCTCCAGATAATTCCTCGGCTAAACAAAATATGAATTCCTTCCTGGATATTTTCGATCTGATGCACTCTTTACATAATGTCCACACGCTTATCGCCGCCAAATCTAAAATATTGAAAAATACTTGAAGAGGCCATTGGAAGCTTCCTGCTTTACACTATACTTGCGTGCCATCTGGTCGACCACGTCCACGCCAAACATTGTTTTATGGTAAAAAGCAATGGTTCCTGGAACGGATTTATAAAATGTGAGGAAAACAAAGTCATTTTCAAGTCAAGATCTCGCTTCATTTGTGTCCCAGACATATGTAATTTTTAGAAAATTACGTAACTCAGCATTTGTGATTATACAGTTTTTTTTAAACTCGACAGGTCTCGGTTTCAGTGCAATATTCCATTATGTGTCACTCAATTATCAATTCGAAAACGCTAGTTATACATCCCGATATAATATTTTCCTCAGCATAGCCAGTAGGCCTTGCGATATCCTTGAATATCATACGAATGGGCGTCCTACGCTTGGATCCACACGCGTTTCACATTTATCCACTGTGTCCTGTTAATTGAAATTTCAATTTCACCCATTACATTTTGGGATGCGCTTGGAA